AGAATAGAATAGAATAGAATAGAATAGAATAGAATAGAATAGAATAGAATAGAATAGAACACTTTATTGGCCAAGTGTGATTGGACACACAAGGAATTTGTCTTGGTGTAAATACTCTCAGTGTACATAAAAGAAAAGATACATTCGTCAAGAGTCGAGAATCATAAGATACGACACTTAATGATAGTCATAGGGTACAAAAAAACAATCAAATCATACTAGGAAACAGTCAATATAAATTGTAAGGATACAAGCGACAAAGTTACAGTCATACAGTCACAAGTGGGAGGGGATGGGTGATAAGGAGTGATGAGAAGATTAATAGTAATAATAATGCAGATTTAGTAAATAGTTGGACAGGGTTGACGGAATTATTTGTTTAGCAGAGTGATAGCTTTCGCGGAAAAACCTGTCCTTGAGTCTAGTTGTTCTGGTGTGCAGTGCTCTATAGCATCGTTTTGAGGGAAGGAGTTGAAACAGTTTATGTCCAGGATGTGAGGGGTCTGTAAATATTTTCACAGCCTCCTTTTTTGACTCATGCAGTATACAGGTCCTTGACTGAAGGCAGGTGGGTAGTAATTGTTTTTTCTGCAGTCCTAGTTCTTGACTTATAGCAGTTTTTTAGTGACCATTCAAAGTTACAGTCACACTGAAAAAAAAAAAGACTTATGATCATTGTTCACATTTATGACCATTGCAGCATCCCATGGTCATATGATTAGAATTCAGATGCCTGGCTACTGACACCTACTTATGATCGTTGCAGTGTCCCAAGGTCATGTGATCATTTTTTGCAAAGTAAAATCAGTGGGGAAGCCAGAATCAGTTAATATTCATGTTACTAATTTAACAACTGCAGTGATTCACTTACAAGTGTGGCAAGAAAGATTGTAAAATGGGGCAAAATTCACTTAATAAATGTTTCATTTAGCAATGGAAATGTTGGGCTCAGTTGTGTCTGTAAGTCAAGGACTACCTGTACTCAGTAAAAGGAAGCATTTATTATGGCCACTAAAAGTCCCAGATTCTTATCGGATAGTGATTGTGGCATTCTTTTGTTTATACAGGAAATCTCCCTTGTATGATAATTGCTTCTTGCATGCTCCAGATGGGCAGCCTTTATGTACATGTGATCGCAAGAAAGCCCAGTGGTACCTTGACAAAGGCATTGGAGGTTTGTGAATCTGTTCTTTTAGAGTCAAAAAGGCCTAAATACAAGCTTGAAAAGAAGTGTGCTTGCTTTTGTTGTCAAGGTGTCCATGCTGTAATCCAAAATCCATAATTGGATAATGCCTTTATTAATACTAACTAAATGACATCGAAAATATGCTGGTTTTCAAGCACGTCAGGACTCTTCATGAAACAAGATAATAGAAAAATTAGAGGATGAGGAAACGAGAAGTCCAGAAATTAGGCTAGGTGGTCGAGCTACATGGTTTTCAGCTTAAAGTAAGTTTTGAGATGTAAAAACAGGCTGTATATGTGAGTTCGAGGTGGCTGTGTTAGTGTTTGGGGATAAACCCCCTAGCAGAGTGTGCAGCAGCAGTCAAGCCAGGCAGGCAAATGAGAGAGAGAGTGGGCCCAAGAGTATACACACACTGGAGACAAAAACACTGTTTGTGGTTTTAAAATAGTTATTTAATACACACAGAGATTAAGAAGTGTCATTCAGTCCATATATCATTATCCAGTATATCCATCCAGTTATCAAGTCCATTAACAGTAAATACTATGTTCTTATCTGCTTGTATATCTTCTCCTTCTGATACCTTTCTCTCAAGGACAACGCTGAATCCTCAGCTCACCAAGCAAACAGTCCTTGTGTTCAGGTGAAATGGTATCTGGCACAGTAGCCATCCAGAGTAAGCAGATAGACGTTACAACACAGCAGGCAGCAGACCAGGAACAGTAACCAGGTGCATCCAGAAGCCGGGTCTATTACGTTTCCCTTCCTACCTTTATTACTGCCTGCAACCGCACCCACAATGACATTGCAGTTTCTTGTGCTTAAAGCTACAAAACACTTTAAACTAGGTTTACATATTTATTCAACCCAAACCTGGTTGGTGTATCCATATACCCAACAGGCTGTTGCAAATATTAATACACACCTTGCTTTCTGGAACACAGAAATATTAGTTCATCCCCATTCTGCCATGGGAAGGGCAAAGCATGTAGACTTCTGGCCTGATTGATCTTTCTAAAAAAACTATAAAATAAAAGTTTAATTTTAGGTTTTAAACCAAATGTACCTTTTATTGAGAGGGTAAGAGCCCCATTGGTACAAGGTGCTCAAGACTGACTCAGCCTTCCATCTTCCAGAGTTTGGTAAAAGGAGGACCCAGATTGCTGGGGGCAATATGCTGATGTAAACCACTCAGAGAGTAAAGCACTATGGGACGGTATATAAGTCTAAGTGCTATTGCTATTTTACATTTAGGTATACTTGTTCGATGGAATCAGGAAGTTCATTCCATTTGTTTCATTGAGGCTGAGACTCTTTCTCCTGTTAATACCTGCCTTCTAGCCATGGGACCCCTATGCTCTTCTACCTTTTTCTTTCCATGGCCTAAAATGGGATTTATTACCTCAGTTCTGTTTGAAAAAAGAGAGGAGAAACATGGGCAGCTGAATCATCCATAGATCTAAGGTTAAACCAAAGGGAGAGAGCTACAAATTTGGAGGTTACCATGGAAAATTAGCAAATTTTACACATCACTTTATACCTCAAAGCCTCCAATGTTGAAGTTCAATTATATGTATTTTTATTTATTCATTATTTGGAGCAGGAGTGGGTGGGGTTCCCCTCCCCCATGTTGCTGAACTAGGACTCTTACTGCACTAGCCTGCAGACTAATGGGGAGGGACTTTGACATTGCAGATCAGCGACATCTGGAGGGTCACAGTCTTTGAGAGCATCAGAGAACAGGCATTATTAATATTCTCTGGGTTTTTGTGTGTGTTGTTATTTCAGAATTAGTAAATGTGGAGCCATTTACTGTGAGATTAAAGTTTGAGCCCTCTGGACGCCCCGAATCAACTGTGGATTATTACTTGATAGTCAAAGAAAATCTGTGTGTTGTGTGTGGCAAAAAAGAATCTTATATTCGGTGAGTTGATCAAATTACTGAAAGGTCTTAAGCTTCTTCCTACCCCATTATGTTGTGTTTAAGAAATAAGAATAGCATTAAATCCAATGAACTTGTAGGGATATCTTTGTAAAAATACCTAAATAAAACTCTGAGTATTTCAGTAGTTGCAATATAAATTAATTTTTAACGTGCCATAAATGACCAAGATCAAACAACATCAACGTTAGTACATCTGAACTTCATAAGTGTCATAGGATGATGAGTGTATGAATAGAATAGAATTGTTTTATTGCATATTGTATTGCATATTGACAAAGTTTACAAGTTCCACTCATGTTTACAAACTGCTGCGTTCTCTTCATGTATTTTGGGTTGCAAGTAGTGCTGTAATTATTTGTAATTGTTTGCTATTATCATTAACTGTCTGGAACACTTTTTTAGTGGAAAGAAGTATAAATTAAACTGATAGATGAACAATGGAGTTCTTGGTGCACCCTGAGCTTGGTTGTTTACTTGCAGAAATTTCATTATCCAACTAAGTAACATCATCAGTGCAAATGAATGGGGTTTTACTGCCTTTTTATATACAATTTACTTGCCAGTTTAGGTGGGGGTATCGTTTTCTCTTTGATGGTTTCTTGATCAGAGTATTATTTTCTGCCTAATTATTTAATCTGGTGCTGATCACTGCTTATCTAAATATGGGCTGCTGGAGGGGATGTGTCTTTTTGTTTCCTTCCTAGGAATTTAATTGTTTCTTTCGAATGATGTCTAAATGTGGTTTATTAATTTATTAGCATGGTTTACATGTCTATTGGATGGCTGATTTAATGAATTCCAAGCTTACATAAATTCCATAGCATTTGGGGATTTGGCTTGATCTAAGAATAGTGGACACTATAAAAAACAATACATGAAGATAATGAACACTGTGAGACAACTTGTTTAACTGCTTTCATTAAAAGCCAAGCTGATAAAGATACTCTCCAAACAAGCATGTTCCACAGCTATAAAGTAGTCATCAAGATTCTCTCTCCTGACTCAATTTTTTAAACATATTCTTCCCTGCACTAATGCTGTGTCATCTAGGTTGTAACAAATTATTTTTAAGCTGTAGGTGTTGCACAGCATCCTATACTGTTTCACATTGCCCCAGAACATTTACTGTGATCTGGACCTCTAACATCCTATCTTCAGCTACATCAGTCTAATTGCAGTTATGAAGCTGAGATGGGGATAATAAGATTGCTTTGTGTCAATTCATATATTTGTGGCTGTGAGGGGTGTTATGAACGGGAGACCTCAGCACAAAACAAGAATGAAAATTTGTTCTTGTAAAAGAGCAAAAGGGGACTATCAAAATTTAAATAGGAAGTGAAAGAATCTATCAAGGAAGTTTGCTAGTTTAACCCACCTTTTTTTAAAACCATGATTTGCTTTGTAATAGCTCACAAGTAAGCATGTTTACATTTCTGCCCTCCAAAGCTTTATTTAGTAATTAATGCAAACCACTTTGCTATTGAGAAACACAGAAACAAAATAGACGATTGTAAGGTCATTTGGCAACACCAGAATAACATGCTTCCGCCATTACATTAAAAGAAAAGCAATGTATCTTGTTCTAGCTAAAATAACTAAGGGAGCTAGAAACGCTAAAAGCTGACAATAAAATATGCATGGTAACCAAACACAGGAAGATGAATAGAGCAGTGTTTCTCAACCTTGGCCATTTTAGGAAGTGTGGATCAAATGGACAAGGTTGAGAAACACTGGTTGACTCTACTGGAGTAGAGTCTTCATTAACAAAACAGTGAAATCTTTTGAGAACTGTGAAGTGAGCCCTGTTGTATCCAGTGGCGGCTTCTTCAGCTGACCTGTTGAGTTGAGGCCTGATCAACCTCACGGTAGAAGAGCGGCTGCAGGCTCACTGGCACTATGGGTGATCTGCTCTCAAATGCTGCTGTTTCCTCAACAGAAAGAACATTGTACCTCATGAGTACCGGAAACACTTCCCCATCCAGATGAAAGACCACAATTCCCACGACGTGCTCCTTCTCTGCACTGCGTGTCACGCGCTGTCTAATTACTATGATAATCATCTCAAGCAACAACTGGCTGAAGAATTTGGTGCCCCTATTGGTTGCGAGGAGGGCGTTCGCTTGCTCGAAGATCCCACCCGCAGACTAGTCCGTTCGGCAGCTAGAGCACTTGTGAATGCAGACAGCCTCCCTGCTGCCAGGAAGGAAGAGCTGTTGCAGCTGATCCGGGATTACTTTGCATCCGACACGGTTTCCCCAGAGATGGTGCAGGAAGCAGCTGGACTGGAAACCAGGTACAGTGGCTTAGTTTAAGGGTTGATTAGATTAAGATTTAGATTAAGATACTTGATTATTGCCTGCTTGTTTGCAGTGTTTTCCAGGTTTCTGCTTCCTGGGCCCACTTATCCAACTTTGGAGAGTGCTAGTGGTTTGGCTTGGGGAAATGCGTTCTAGGGTTTGACTTGTAGTAATGAGTGGAATTCCCAGGGAAAAGTGAGAAACTTAATCTGAAGTAATGAATAGGTTCAGACTATTAAGAAGATTAGAAAAGTTATCATGCTTTCCCTAGGTGGCATCAAATAGGGACTTACTTTCTCTCTTAGATCTTCAAACAATAAAGTAATATTCCCCAATGCTTCCATTTTAATAACTATTGACAAGAACAGTTTCAGCATGGCTGGCTCTAGCCAATGAGCCAATTCGCTAAATCCTTTTCTGAAGGCATTCAGTTCCATTCTTCCTGCCATCTGATATTCTGGCACCTGCAACTCACTCAGTTCTCATTGAGCTGTTTGAGGATTTCCCTTCAAGAAAATCCTAAATTGGAAGTTTTTGTTTATTTATTGCACTTCTGTAAATATTTCCATCTTATTGACAATTCCCTCTTGTGTAGGAATCCTGCTGTTTAGCTATATAAAGAATCATATTGGGACAAACATGTATGTATTGCACTTCCAAGATTCCTGGTTGCTGTGGTATCTGAAAGGTTCTAGATTAGAGGATGCCGTCTAACATAAGATTGATTTTCATGGCCTTCCTAGCGGGATGATGGCCTTTGGAAAATGCTCAGTGTTTTTATTAACGATGCTTCTCTCTTTCATTCTACTTCCTCACTGCTTAGTAAATAGGATCGATGTCTATAATGTTCTCGAGACTATAAAGCCCATTTTGAAGTGATATAACTATCAATAAATCTATCTATATAAAAGCGAAATACCACTCAAGCATCATCACAAAATCTCCAGAACCGTAAAGCCTACAAACTTGAAATTTGGCACGTATGTTCCTCTTGGCTTCTAGGTGCTCACTAAGAAAGGATTTTTCAAAATGACCATCAGAGCATTAGTATTTTGTATATTAATGTTAACACGCTCTGATGTTAAGGAATTTTATTCCCCCTCCCCACCCGAAAAGAAATCTGTTCCAAATGCAAAACACAGAGGAGAGGAGTTTCAGTTTCAGTTTTAGTTTCACAGCACCAAGCAGCTTTAGTTCAGAACAGTTGAGCTAAGCTACGCCTAGGCTCCTTGCTGTCTCCTTGCTCACGCAGCAAATACTGTTTCTGTTTCCAAACAGCCCTCAACTCTCTCACACACTGATAGGACGCTAGCCAGATAAATAACAATGGATGCTGGTAGGCAGAGGCACAATGCCCCTCCCCTTATTTTCCTTCCCAAAAACTTGCCCGATGAGAATAGTTTTTGTAGTGAAGCATGGGTCCCAGGAGTGGGATGCTACTGGTTTGGCCCGGTTCTATAGAACCGGTAGCTCTGAAGAGCAGCTGACACTGAACTGGTTTGGTGCAATGACCTTTTGGTCGTCTGTTTGGCCCACCCACCCGCCCGGACTCTTGGCTGTCCTTTATTTCCTGCTTTTTCAACCTTAGCTGCTTTGCACAGCAAAACGCACTCTGACTGAACCGGTAGTAACACGGGTTGGATCCCTCCCCTAATGGGTACCCTGCTAGTAATGAAATAAATGGAAATGTTTTGCTTCCTTCAAGCTTTCCCAAACACCTCCTTTGTTCATCTTTTTTTTCCAGGATTTTTAACGAGAACTATGTGCCACATGGCTTGAAAGTGGTTCAGTCTTTTGCGCAAGGGGGCTTATATTCTCTCATGGGGCTGGAGAAACGTTGGCGCCAGCACTTCTTGGATGTCATGCAGCCCAAGCATCTCCCAGCACAATGGTCTGTTGATCATAATCACGACAAGTTAATCAAGAAATACGGGGAGGCTCTCCAGATTGAACTTTCATGAAGATGAAATGATGAAACTGGAAAATATAACCCAGACCTACTATTTTCCTTCCCCCCTCACGTTGGGATTAACAAGATTCCACCCAGACAGTTACATTGCGAAGGAAATCTCACCAGCATTGCCAGATAAAACTATTTTAAGCTAAAAGGTGGTTTTTTAAAGTGTTTTTATTTGTTTTGAATTACAATTTGAATATTGGTTCTACAAAGATCACCATAGCCATATCTTCTTTGTGAAGGCTTCTGTACATATGTGGACCCTTCTAGCCTTTCAGATGCTGCTTCTGAATTGCAGTACTTCACTCGCCGTTCGTCTTCATTGACACAGAAACATCTGGAGACTTTCAGGTTCCTCTCTCTGTTTTATCTTGAAGGTACCATTAAGGGGGAAGAAGAGCATGAGGTGTTTTTTTTTTTTTTAAGTGGATTTATTTGTCTAACAGCAATTATATATCACCCAAAGCCCATATTTAGCTATTAAAACTCATGTTAGACCTGTCCCAATTTGGTCCCTCAGGAAGGAAACACTCCCAACTCCATTTGTAGCAAAAAGGTTACTTTTACTAAAAGCCAAGTGATTACAGTTATACAAAGCCAGAACTAAGAGTTTGTGTGCAAAGATTCCCTAGTTAACTTTCCCTTCTTGTGTCCCATCCCCCTGGTATCATCCCAATGTCCAGTCACATTTGAAGAAAATGTTTTGGTAATTATCCTTATTACGGTTGAATGGATGGATGTGACATTCCACTCCCAGGACCACAGCCTCAGGATGTCTCGGGATAGACATCGGGACTGCATGAAGATCACTTTTGGTCTCCCCTTTCCTTGTCTTTCCACAGCCCCCTTCCCCAAAAGCTCATGGCAGTCTGGCAACTAGCAAAGCACAATTGTGAGTGAAGGGTGGCAACTCTGACAACTCATTCGATAACTTTGAAGCTGTCCTTATCTCTCACCTCTCATCTACATGTGTGGCCCAATGGTGGGATTCAATGTTTTTTTTACTACGGGTTCTATGGGCGTGGTGTGGCTTGGTGGGTGTGGCAGGGAAAGGGTACTGTAAAATCCCCATTCCCTCCCCCCTCCTGGGGGAAGGTTACTGCAAAATCCTCATTCTCTCCCCACCCCACTAACCTGCTTTCCAGCTCAGTTCTCCTGTGCAGGGCAACAAAAGAAGACTCAGCCAATCAGCTGGGACTCGGGAGGCAGAGAATAGATGGGGGCGGGACCAGTCAGAGGTGGTATTTGCCAGTTCTCTGAGCTACTCAAAATTTCCACTACCGGTTCTCCAGAACTGGTCAGAACCTGCTGAATACTACCTCTGGTGTGGCCCAAGGATGAACAACAAGGGAGCCAAAGGCTTGTTTCAATCTTTTATTGTTTCCTGTGTGGTGGAAGTTTGCATTCTGCTGGAGTATAAAATACACCAAAAAAAAAATTCAGTGGAAAAATGTATTATATTCTGAACTCAAAAAGTGTCCTTTTCCAATTTAGCCATTTCCCTACATTGTGTATCTCTGATCCTCTACAAAAGAACATTGAAATTGAAGTTTGTGTTGGTGGCCGCTTCCGATAGAATCTTTACAACTTGGATGAAACAGTTTTTACTGAAGTGCTGATTCTAGCTGGGCATTTACCACCCTACATTTTAAGTAGATGCCAATGTGGTAGAATGCAATAACTGGGAGTATGTCTTTTGATATTATCTGGTACTCATTGAGCTTGTGGAGACTGACAAAGTGGCTAAAAGATTCCCTGAGACATCACTGCTGTGACTTCTAACTTGGATTCATGCCCTGTTGACTGATTTGGTCCGTGAAGAAGATGAAGGTATTTGGATGCGAGAGGTGGGGATGGCTTCCTTGAGGGAGCTTCGGATGGTACTAGCCTTGAAAAAGGCAGTCCAGCCTTATTGGACACTAGTGCACTCTCTTCCAACTTCTCCTAGCTTCAGAGGATCCTAGATGAAGCACATTATCGAGATCCCGTTTACTCTGGTTCCAGACCTGTCAGAGGAGAGACATAACGTAGTGTCAAGCTTTCAACAGGAGAATACCAACCCTGCAAAAAAAAGGATTCATGAATCTCATTAGTTAAGTTTACTCTGAAGAAAGTGAAGAGCTAATATAGAGAATCTTAGGAACCAAATAAACCCCAAATTTAGCCTTTATTTATTAGTGAATGTATTTATTATTAGTGAATTCACTAGGGCAGAGCCTCTACATTTCTAAGAGCCGTGTGACTCTCTTGTTTCCGGAATGCCAGGCTGAAGATCCTTTGAGCTTCCTCCCCTTTCTTTGGAGAATTTACATCTAGTCACTTTGGTGGATGTTTTATTTAAAGGATAGGAATACAAGAGGTATTCTTCTGGTATAATACAGGTAATACATTCAGCAACTATCTTTGTAATCTTTTGCAGTTGCAACAGTGATGAAAAAATAACTTTATGACTAACCTTAGCATTTAGGACAAGGGTCTTCAAACTTGGCAAGTTTAAGACTTGTGGACTTCAACTCCCAGAATTCCTGAGCTAACATGACTGGTGGAGGGATTCTGGAAGTTCAAGTCCACAAGTCTTAAAAGCTGTCAAGTTTGAAGATCCCTGATTTAGGAGGTGCTAAAGGCAGGTGTGCAGAGCAAAGGAAAGGTGAAGTAAAGTCATAAACAACTGAGGTTTCACTTAGTGACCACTTTTCTTAATGACCAGGCTACCGGTCCCAATTGTGATTGCTAAACAAAGAACTCCCTGTTCATCCTTTCTGGTCTGGTTAGACTTTTCATGGTATCTCACTGAGCCACCTTACTGGGGGTAGGAGTTGCAGGCACCATTTTCCGGTCATTCTATTCCTTCTTTTAAGTGGATGGTTGGTTCTAGTCAGTAATGGTAGGGAGAAGAAAGTCAGGTTGGTGGGTTAGGGAGGGGGTCCCCACCCCAACCCTCAGTCCACGGCCTGGTTACCAGTCTGTGACTCATTGGGAACTAGGCCACTACCAGTCCACAGAACTGGAAAGATTGGGGACTGCTGGGTTAAGGGATGATGGTGCTAGAACTCAGAAATGGGCCTTAATACTAAATACTTGCTCCCTGTTAGCACTTTTACAAGGCAGCCAAGACTATTTTTGGAACAGGAATTTGGGTGCTAAGTCTCTTAGTGTTCAACAGATTGGGTGGCTCCCTCTATTCACAAAGTACTGTTTGTTGTTTTGTTGGGTTTGATATTTCGTCTAAATTGTCATAAGTTAGGTGGATGGGATAAAAGAGCTTGTAATAAACAAATAATGAATAAATAATTAATTACCAGTGTTTGCATCTTTCATGTTGCAAATAAATTAATATGTCAAGGAAAAACTTATAATAGGAACCCTTTGTTGGATGGACATCCAATTTTCAATATGCTACTGGATTTTTAAAAAAATATAATTGCTTTTGGTCATATAAGCCCCAATTTGTTATCAGATGTTAATGCCTATTCACAGTTTAAACACCCAAGCCTCCTTTGAAGTGTTGATGCGGACAAAAAAGAAAAGAAAAAGTTCAGTTGAAAATTATAATTGAATACACGGAAAATACAGAGATGGCTCTGTTCTTCCCAAGCAGATATTCAGCTGCTGTCAAAAGCCCTGAGAGAAATGCCATGTGCAAGCAGTTGGGACAGATAATCTTGGAGGGTCATGACAATACTATAATGCCTTTGTAAGCGATCTAGCCTTTTCAAATTTAGTGCTTCTGGGCCTTGAAGTTTACCAGAATTGTACTGACATCTGAACTGATGAAATGCTGTGTGTAATATTTGATTATTTTTTTCTAAAGGAAGAGAAAAAAAAAACCCACAAGGAGATTATTGGAGAAAGTTACTTTGTAGTGTGGGTGCAGAAGATGGTGATGGAAAGTGGTATAAATCTATTATTCTCCATACTCATAACACATTGTAAGGTCTAATGTAAATATCCTGCTTTTTAAAATGTGCTACTATAGATTTCATTCATCATCAATATTTTTAAGTGTCTTAATGTTCTTTTTAAATTAAAGCTTTAAAAACTATACACATACTGGGTTATTTTTTTCCTTTTCGCTGGATCCATCACTACCCAATTTGGATGAAAAGAAGCTTTTCATGAGAACAGAAAGGACACTGCTGCATCCATAGCTGCTCTAGGTTTTTAGCATGGAATAAAACTGTTTTACACAGAACTATATGCATGTACTACTTCATATATCACTTTTCAAAGCCAAGAAGAACAACACGGGTTTTTTTTTCCTTACCAAGACAATATTAGAAGCACAAGATTTATTCCAGTTCCTCTGCTTATCTGAGTGTTGATTTTGGTTTACCTTCAAAATTTGGTTTCATCTTGTTGCCAAGTGTCCTATCAATGAACCACTAGATGGCAGAATTCTACAATGAATGCAAGGAAAAATCCAGACATGAAAGGAAAAGAACATTCTTCTCTGGTCTTGGATACCAGAATAACAGAATTGGAAGGAACCTTGGAGGTCTTCTAGTTCAGGGGTCTCCAACCTTGACAACTTTAAGACTTATGGACTTCAACTCCCAGAATTCCTCAGCCAGCTTTGCTGAAGTCCACAAGTCTTAAAGTTGCCAAGGTTGGAGACCCCTGTTCTAGTTCAATCCTCTGCTCAAGCAGAGTCCCCATACCATTTCAGACAAATGGCTGTCCAATCTGTCCAATTTCTGACCTTGCCTTCTGGTGCTTTGGAAAATAGATTGACATCCCTTCTTTGTAGAATCCCCTCAGGTATTAGAACACTGCTATCCTGTCTCCTGTAGTCCTTCTTTTCACTAGACATACCTAAGTTATTTTTTTCTTCGTTTTTCATCTGCCAGGCCACACTCAATTAAGCGTATGAGATCTGGCTGCTAAGCTGGTTGTTTGAGAGGAGCTTCTCCAAATATGTGTGCAGGGGAGGGCTTTTGACGAGTTGATAATTTCCCCCCTTAAATTCCATCCTCTGAAATCAAATAGTCCTCTCAGATTTATAGACCGACATTCCTATTGCCAATTTAACTGTGGAAGTATTTAGCTTTGGTCTTAAGAAGTAGGAAGGAGAGAGGAAATGATCCCTCAGTCCAGGGACAGTAGAAAGTGTGAGAAAGAAACCCAAAACAGTGCTACCTTAATTGTGTCATATTTTTAAAAATGGGTACGAGTGAACCTTTATTTACCATCATGATCAGGACAAGAACTTCCTCTAAGCGATGCTAAGTTACTAAACGAGTCGCATTCAATTTTACAATCTTTTTTTTTTCCTGTGGTTAAGTGAATGACATGGTCATTAAGGGAATCTGACTCCCCTCATTGGCTTTGCTTATCAGAAGTCCCTGGGATGATCATAAATGGCAATCGTGATCTTGGGACTCGGCAACTATTGTAAATGCATGCCAATTGCCAAGCACCCAAATTTTGGCACATGACCTGGGGGGAGGTGGCAACCGAGTACTGGTTGTAAATCCCTTTTTTAAATTGAAGCTTACCTCAACTAAAAAAGATTTTTTTTAAGATTTCAGAGAGGTTTTTCAAATAGTGTTACTGTGATTGATTGATTGATTGATTGATCGTATGTCATCACATCAATGTCAACTCTTAGCAACCACACAGATACACTTTCTCCAGGATGCTGTGTTCCCAGTCTTGTCCTTCAAGTCCAATGGTAGCATCATGCCCCTGGTGCAGACTGACTCTGAAGGAGAGAAGGAACAGCGGACAGGGAGTGGAAGTGTGGCTCCGGAGGTTGTGGAGGAGGCTGGGGAAGGGCAGAGGCCGGCTGAACAGTCAGAGAAGGACTCAGGCCCATCCCCTATCCATCCTAGGGCACTCAGGGAGGAGAGGATGAGGAAGAGATGTGATCTACTTGGGAGGAGAGGGCCTTGATCCTCTTCATGGGCTGCAGCTGTGACAACTGAATAAGAGTACGGACCTGCATACGGGCGAATGCTGGAAACAAAGCAT